CCACAAAAGTAACTTTTTTAACATTTACAGATTAGTTCTTAAAAATCTATGCTCTTTAAAGAGGAACCCTTCTAGATTTGCAAAAGATGGGCAAAATCGTTAATCACTTCTTCAAAATCTATGCTTTTTAGCACATCAGATTCTATGGACATCAGCGACAAACTGGTTAATCTCTCTTGAAGCATTGTACTTCTTAATTCATTTTTAATTCTTTTTAATTTGGAGAAGGAGCGCTCTCCACTGCAGTTAGTTACCATCATGCTTAAAAGGATTTTCAATGCGATTTATACATTTGGAAATGTGTCTTCAATTTTATTTTCTTTCAAAAGTTGATATATTTTTAATATACAATCCTTATTTTCACTGTCATCAATTTTAAGTATTCTGCAGAACATGTTATTGATTGATCGCCAGTTATCGACAGACATTGTATATTTTGAAACCAAACCCAATATATTGGGTTTAAGTTCAAATTAATTTAGGGAAATTCTGTTTCAAAACTGAAACTTCCTTTTTCTATAAGCAGTTGATTTATAAGTATACTTACTTGTAAAAAAGGGACTCTAGATTGTGAATTTACTTACATTGATATAACATTATTTTAAAATTAGTTAGGTAAAAGATACACAAGTATTAATTTTTAACCCCCAATTTAATTCAAGCATATTTGGTACAAATAAAATTATAAATAATAATACAAGTTATAAAAACAAACATAAAATAAACCATATGCAAATATGTATACATATTTGCATATGTAGTGTATACACTTAAAAACATGATTCTATTAATAGGATATTTTATAAATAAATAATAAAGAATAAATAAAGAAAAACAATATTTTATTGATTTTTAAATAAAATAAGCTTATGTAGTTTTTGTCTAACATATTCTGGTTTTTCAGAAGCCTTTTTACCTTCCCAATTTAGTCTGGAAGCTCGAGCTTAAAAATATAGCAATAATTTTTTTAATCAGAAGAATTCTATGATTGTCCAATATATTTTGGGTCTTTATATGATCAATCATTGCAGAATTTGAAAATATATTTTCAAATTCAGTATACTGACTGTACATTATACAATACTTTATTACTTATATACATAGCACTATTTTTAAATTTAAATTTATTTGACATTTGTCTAGTTAATTTTTCAGTTTCTTGACAAATTAAAACTACATTGTATTTGATCTAAGGGGGGCCCCTGTCGATCCCGGGGCCCTGGGCACTTGCCCAAAGTGCCCAATGGGAAAGAGGGGTCTGTTTATCAGTTTATCACAAATTAAAAGTTAAAAAAAGTATAACATATCTCAAAAACTGCTTCCACTTAATAATTAGGTATAATAATAATAATAATAATAATTTTTGACGGAATTTTCGAATTCAGGAGACAATTTTACATAAGAATTAGCTGTTAAATTTTGGGATACCATGGTATTCCATGGTTAACCATGGTACAAATGAAAAAGCAGCCATTTTTGACTAATTCATTTTTAGAGAGTATGTAAAAAACAATGAACAAAAAATTTAATAAAAATAATCTAGATTTTAAAAGTTAATTAGGTAATTCTTAAAAAGTTATTAAAAATTAAAAAACTGCTCCCTTAAAATGAATTAGTCAAAAATTACTAATTGTCATAGCGAAAAAGCAGCCACTAATAATTTTAGTCAACACCAATTTGTATTTCGGACATTTAGCAGTTAATTTCTATGTAAAATTGACAACAGTTAGAAAAGTAGAACAGTTTTTGTAATATAGTCAATTTTCCATATAATATGGAATTGACTATATCTTAAAAACTGCTCTACTTCTATAATTTTTATGACATTTTCAGATTCAGCGTAAAATTTTATATGGGAATTGCCTAATAAATGTCCGGGATACAAATTGATGTGGACTGCAGCTATTAGTGGCTGCTTTTTCGCTACATATGATAACACTGTGCTAGTTCAAAAATCTAACAAGCGGGGCACCAAGGGGGATTACCTAATTTGAGTACGAAAAAAGATATCGATTTGAAATTTTAAAAGCGTTTATAATGAATATAAGTATATTTTTCTAAAATATTTTAAACAAAATGCTACTTGCGGTTTACCCGGAAGTGACATCAACTTTGTTATTTTAAATAAAACACCCCATATATTTTTACATTTTTAAATTCTACATAAAATTCTGATTAAAATTACTAGGTATACCATGTCCTATAACTAAAGTGAATAGTTTAAGGGTTATTAATTTTTATGGTTAAAATTTGACAAATGCGCGTCAATAGCTTATAACTCTTTTTTATTAGGTTTGCAGATATGGCAGTAGAATTTTTAGAATCTTAAAACATTCTTTAAAAGATTCCATGTCAATTCTTTAACATTTTTTGACAAATCACCTGAAAAAACCCAGAGCAAAATAACCAACTTGAAAGGTTAATAACTTTTTTATTTTAAATGTAACAACCAGTATGTTTTTACCTAATCGAATAGTAAATTAAAAAACCTTTTAATTGATTTTACTATTCCCTATACCTAAAGTTAATAATTTTAGAGATATTAAACAATTTCTAAAATTTTAAATATTATTTTGTATCAAGAAACCTGTGAGGGTTGAGTTGACGGTATCTATGGTTACCACGTAATCTGTCATTATTTAAAATTTAAAGTGAGCTCCGTTGCCGCTGATCGTTGCTTATATAAACAGTATGTATAAACAATGTTACTTTTTGCATTATAATTCTTGGAGGTAGATCATTGATAAAAAACATAAGAAAGGCGACTTGGCAATAAGGGCCGTATTCCAAACATTTTAGTACATTTAATACTGAATTTATAAAAAATTCAGAAAACTGTATATTTTTTGAGAAAAAAATCATAAAAAACACTTTAAAATCGTCCAAATTATTTTTTTTCAACAGTTTCTTTTCAATATGTATCTGTTTATACATTTATTCCATCGATTTTTATCAATTTATAATAAGTAAATGGTTTTAAAATGAGAAAAAGAATGTTTTTTGTGATGCTTGGATCTACAATTTAAATCTAAAATATCTCGAAAACAAGAGCTAACCTAAAAAAGCGACTAGTACCATTGGATTTGGCGTATTTGAATTAGGTAATCCCTATGGGTGACCTGCGGAAAAAAAAATCCGATTCGAGCACAGGTTAATTAGTTATTTTTGACTAATTAATTTTAAGAGAGTTTGCATTTTTATTATTTAATTTTATATACATACAAGACGATTTTAAAAACGAAAGATTACCAATTTTGACAAAAAAACTCAAAAATACAAAACACCCCTGACTCCGGCCCTGTCCCGGAGCGGGCAGCAGGGGTCTCACTGAGGCCGAAACTACGTGATCCGGGACCACTTATCGCCAGCGGTCCGCGTAGTATCGCTTCGTGCCGTGACTGTTCAGCATATCCCAAACACCACCCCATTCTACGCTTTCACTCGAAAGCACAAGCCACCCCCTCCACCCCTTGATCCGCGAATTCCCCCATGGGGTCCCCTAATGACGTAGTCAAGTAAGTTTTTTGTTCAGAGGTTAAAGAATTGATTGGTACTGTTCTTTAATCTTTAAATTAATAATGTTTAGTAAGTACAAAAAAATACAGTTCAATTTAAAACTCTTGAAAAGAATGCAAAAACACCTCATTATTATACAAAAATTACTCATAAAACTAAAAGACAATTAAAATTGCCTAATAGACACCCTTAATAGGAAGCCAAAAAAGCGACATTTTATTACCTGGGCACGCAGGTCCCACTGTCCATACAGACAAACTTTAAAATGTAAACAAGACAATATTATAACACCTGTTATGCAACATAAAAACCTTTTATATAAACCGACGACCTTAAATTTTTTTTCGTACGGGTGTTCCTATCTAAATTTTTTATTTACTTTCGACCATTATGTATGTATTTTAAAAACTATTAAATGTATTGTATAGCTTCCCCCAATTTGACCTCTCTATCTTACACAATTGTGTGGTTAGTATATACGGTGTCAAAGAAATTATTGTAAACAAATGACGACTTTCTTTAAAAAATCGGATTCGCCAATGCTCAAAATCTAAAAGAGATCCAAAATGGTAATAAAACATTCACAAAAATACCAAATCTAATTCTCATACACAAAGTAATTTTGGAGACATAATTATTTGAATGTATTGAAAAACTTTCAGAATGAAAAAATCGGCATGTGCCTGTAATATAAATCAAAATGCGGTTCAAATTCTACGGTCCGGGCGCAAAATAAAATTTACCGCTGCGTTTTGAGCTCTGCAGATTTTCACCGCAAAGTGGGACATGCTTAAATGGCGCACAGGGGGGAAAAGCTTAAAGATATGTCGTTTTTTGTAAAATGTTGAAAAAAATGCCCAAAACATATATATATCTTGACATAATAAATAAATTCTAGGTTTTTACAACAAAAATTGTTGTTAAAGCATCTGAATGAACATCGTAATAAGTGAAATAAATAGTGGTTTCAATTAACTTAAAACTTTGTCTTATGAATATACACAGTGTTGTTCAAAACCAAAAAATTAGTGGTAGTACTTTTCAATTAGTGGAAAAAGTTCTAACTTTTACCACTAATTATAATTGGAAAGAGGCTTTGCGCATGTGCGCGGATATTTTATGTCAAAAGTATAAAGTGAAGGTAAGGTTATATAAATATTATTGTTATGGTTGTAAAAAATATTATTTTAATATAATAAATATTGTAGGTATATGTCAGGTTAAGAAGAATGGACAATCTTTTAGCAAATTCCCTTAATTTTAGATGTTAATTTTGCGCATTGTGAATGATCGTTTTGTGTTAATTATAAGTATAATTGAAACCACTAATTTTTTCCACCAATTACGAGGTTCTGAATGAGGCTTTAGATTAGAAAACTTTTTCGAAGCACAGATATATTAGCAACTTCTTATCAATAATGTTATCAACTTCAATCATCATCTCAACAGGTGTCCAAAATATTACATAACAAACGTCATCTTACCTTAAACGGCGCATTTGGAACATAAAGTGGAGGATCTCTGGCAGATCCAGACATTTTTTCATTCGCAACTGGAATGCCTTCATCCAAATCGCAGACACTGTAACGTCCCACAATGGAATCCGCGGGTTTCGCTTCGTAACCTGGGGGTTTACCGACACAAAAACCTTTGGCTTTCACCCAAAAACGGAATTTTGAGTTGTCGGCACTCACAACTTCGTCACCACGGAGGGTGCGAAGAATACGCGCGTATTTTTTGAGAGTAATTGTTTTGGTTTTCGCGAGATCCCCGTACGTTTGTATGACCCACGGCTGATAGGTGAGAAGCATGTCTTCCTTGTTGTCAGAGGAGAGACGTGGTTTTTTGGTGATGTTGTTGTTGTGTTCCTGCTTGTTTTTCGGCGGTGTTTTGCGCTTAGCAGGTTTTTTGATGGGTTTACACTCGTCCAGGTGCTGTTCCATCATCATGGTAGTCATTGCACTGGATCACAATGGAAGCGGTCAGAGTTTGGAACTTTGCGGCACTCTTCGCTCTCGGAAAAGTTTCTCGTGGTGCGCGCGCGTTCTTTGAGACCTTATTGCAGCTGTGCGCTGTGTGGCGGGCCGTCCCGTACTGAAGTGACGGGACTTGGTCGCGTAGATCCCCCTCTAGCGTGGCTCGGTACGGTGAGCGTGTGTGTGCGGAGAGAGCAAGGCACGGCGCGTCGGCGGTGATGTTCGGATGGAATGGATTCGGAGAGTATGGGACGGATGGACGGACGTTGAGTTGATCGGCCCATGCGAGGATGCCGCCGGTGGGATGCCGGCGATAAGCGTTTTGCGGTGTCTAGCACTGAGCCGCACAGTGTGGATGATTTATTTTGTTTTAATTTGAATTATTAACATTTTTTCATGTGGTTTAATTTATTAATAACTTAATGACTATAAATATATAGCTATTTATAACCATGGATTTAAAAAGAGTTAGATATGTAGGTAAAATAGGAAGGGTTTGCAATTTTTAATTTGTTATAAAAGTCATTTTTTAACTTGCCTAAGTAAAAATACGGATTTAAATAAAAATATTTGGTCACAGAGGTCCTTAATAAGTCATAGGTCACAAAAAAAAGGCGCCAAAAACTGAATGCGCTATCGGAATAAGGACCCTTTCTAAAGTTTAAAAACATGTTTTTCAAAATTGTAGGTGATCCTTTTTTTTAATTTTGAAAGTTAATTCAAATACCAACTGTAATTTAATGACCAATTTAAGATTTATTACGAATTTCTTTAAAACTGAGCCCTTTAGGAAAAATTTTAAAATAAAGAATTAAAGATGACAAAATTATCTATTAAATAATGCTTCAACAACCGCAACCATTGGCGTAGATACCTATATTTTTTTTATTACAAAATGTTTTAAAAACTTAATGTTTTTACACATTAATCGCCGAAACCATATTTCACAAAAAAAAGAACGGACAACAGAAAATGGTTTATCTATTAAAAAAGCAGGACCACTAAATAAAGTAATGTATGTTCAGTTGAGGTATTCGCTCACGCAATAATACTACCATCAGTTGATTACATTAAATTGCCAACAAAGAAATCTAGTTAGTCATCACCTTTGCCAGGCAACACTTTTGCCTACGTATTTTGGAACGGACTAGTGAAACTTCTATAGAAGTTTCCTATAGGAAAAGAACATGCGTTAAGATGGCCTAAAACACTGAATTTGGTCTAAGAACTACCAAGGTGTCATATTTGAGGAAAATGCATGTTAAATGCTTCTGAAACATTTTTTGCAAACTGTTAGTCCTTTGGTCATTTTTCCACCTAAACGCCAAATTTGGACTAAATAAAAATTCACATACAAACATTAGTAGTTATGTTTAAAGCTGCTGATATATCTCAAACTTTAAAAGTTCATGTACTTATTAATCACTTGGAAGAATGTCCACCGCGAGTTTATAAAATTTTTGGAATAAATACAAGATAAACCACATGGCACATCCTAACTTCAAAGAGTCGTTAAAAAGAGCAGTTGTAGAGTTTTCATAAAAAAATATGTAATGCTTTTTCTCATGTTGATAACATTACTTTGATTAATAAATAATATTTGATAATTATTAAGTACTTACTTGTCTAGTTTGTTTTATACAGGGTGTCCCAAAAGTCAACGATATCCTTTGGAGGAATGATGGACCAACTCATGACCAACCAGAAAATCAAAACATGACCTTAGTAAAAAATCGTTAGTTTTTGAGATATAGTCATTTTTATGAATTTTGTAAAACTTGACACCTTATATCAGTTTTTTGAGTGCTACAGCTACAAAATTCCATATTCTTAGATTATATTTTATGTTGTGCAATCCTAAAAATGCCTGCTATTGATTACAGTTCAAAATAAAACTAATAGTAGTTTTTTACCTTTTGAAAACAAACATTTTTGCCCGATTTTATAAGTTTTTTTTATTAGCTAACTTTGACCGTTCAGACTGTAAAAAAACATGTCACGCAAACTTGGCAAGTATTTTAAAAATTGCTAATTTAGTGTAATATGCCATGTTATACTTTAAAGAAAAAGATATTGCTGTTTTACTGCAAAACGAGTTTATTGTTAAATTATTTTAATATTTAGGAATTTAAACAAAAACACTTCTTTAATGAAAATAACAGATATTTAATTAAAAACAAACGAATCACAAATAAAAATTAAAAAATGTGTTCAAAATGCCTGCCACCAAGTCGAATGCAAGCGCGGCATCTTTTTAAAAAGGATCGTTTTATCTGTCTTGCACTTTCTGCGTCTTTTATTTGTTGTCCGGCTTCATTAATTTGGTCTCTCATTTCATGTACGTTATGAATTACTATTCCATAGACTTTTTCCTTTATGCAACCCCAGTAAAAAAAATCGAGAGGATTTAGATCCGGAGACCGGGGAGGCCACAAAATGGGACCAAGACGGCCGATCCATCTCTCTGGATAAACCTCATCCAAATAATTTCTTACTTCCCGAGCGTAATGAGCTGGACAACCATCATGTTGAAGCCACATTGCCGTGCGTGTGGCGACAGGCACATCATCCAAAAGATTTGTCAGTTCGTTTTCCAAAAACTGTTGATAATTTTCCCCATTTAAATTTTCAGGTAATTCAAAGGGACCGATTATTTGGCCGTTCAAGATGCCGGTCCACAAATTCACTTTAAAGCGATACTGTGACCTTTCTTCTCGAATTAAATGTGTATTTTCAAGTGCATAATAATGAAGATTATGCATGTTCATAAAACCATCTTTATGGAATGTGCATTCATCAGTCCATAAAATTTTATCCAGGAACTCTGGGTCTTCCCTATGTTTCTGCAACATTCTGCGGCAAAATTGGACACGTCTTGCGTAGTCACGAGGAAGCAACATTTGCACACGCTGTACGTGATATGGGTGATACTGATACCGTCGTGTAATTCTGTTTGCAGTGGATTTCGGTATTCCTGTACGCCTTTCAATTGCTCGCGCCGAAGTAGTTGGGTGATTTTCAATTTCTTGCAAAACCTCTTCATCATAATCCATACGTGGTCTTCCCATTCTACCACGATTGTGAGGCATTCTGCCTTCAGCGTATGCTTGGTGAACATTTATAAAGACGCGATAATCAGGATATCTCAAAGCATTCGGGTATCTTTCCCGATACAGGTTGGCGGAAGCTACACCATTACCTCTGCATTCACCATAAATGTAATGCATGTTTGCATATTCCTGAGCAGTATACTGGTACGGCATAATGAGTAGTCAAACGTCAAACACGGAACACAAACACACAATTGAAGGGGCAAGTGGATAAAGGTGTTTTGATAATAAAGAACAAAAATATTGTAATTGTTATTAAAATTAAATTTTGTGTTGAAATTACAATATTTTTTCTTTAAAGGTGTCATCTTACATTTAAGTTTAGAAAGAACAAACAATATTGTGGTTGTAAATAAAAATAAATTTGGTATTGCAATTACAATATTTTCTTGGATGATGTGCCTGTCGCCACACGCAGGGCAATGTGGCTTCAACATGATGGTTGTCAAGCTCATTACGCACGGGAAGTAAGAAATTATTTGGATCAGGTTTATCCAGAGAGATGGATATGCCGTCTTGGTCCCATTTTGTGGCCTCCCCGGTCTCCGGATTTAAATCCTCTAAATTTTTTTTACTGGGGTTGCATAAAGGAAAAAGTCTTTGGAATAATAATTCATAACGTACATGAATTGAGTGACCAAATTAATGAAGCCGCACAACAAATAAAAGACGCAGAAAGTGCAAGACAGATAAAACGATCCTTTTTAAAAAGATGCCGCGCTTGCACTCGACTTGGTGGCAGGCATTTTGAACACATTCTTTAATTTTTATTTGTGATTCGTTTGTTTTTAATTAAATATCTGTTATTTTCATTAAAGAAGTGTTTTTGTTATATTATGTGCTATTCCTAAATATTGAAATAATTTAACAATAAACTCGTTTTGCAGTAAAACAGCAATATCTTTTTCTTTAAAGTATAACATGGCATATTACACTAAATTAGCAATTTTTAAAATACTTGCCAAGTTTGAGTGACATGTTTTTTTACAGTCTGAACAGTTAGCTAATAAAAAAAACTTATAAAATCGGGCAAAAATGTTTGTTTTCAAAAGGTAAAAAACTACTGCTAGTTTTATTTTGAACTGTAATCAATAGCAGGCATTTTTAGGATTGCACAACATAAAATATATTCTAAGAATATGGAATTTTGTAGCTGTGGCACTTAAAAAACTGATATAAGGTGTCAAGTTTTACAAAATTCATAAAAAAGACTATATCTCAAAAACTAACGATTTTTTACCAAGGTCATGTTTTGATTTTCTGGTTGGTCATGAGTTGGTCCATCATTCCTCCAAAGGATATCGTTGACTTTTGGGACACCCTGTATAGGTTATATTTCTTATTATTATTATGCTGCAATGTTGAAAGTAACCTATGACAGGTTATTTACAAAAAAATGTAACATACCCAGTTAAACATAAAAAATTCACGACTACGTCCATGGATTTCGCAGGCCAATAGTTTAGGCATAACTATGGAAGCATGATTTAATAGATAATTCACCTTTATTTCCCTATTCAAAAATTTTTTCTAAAGGCCTCTTTTTTAAAGATAATGGCAAAAAACTAAAATAAATCACCAAATGATGTTTGAAATTTGGATTATTAAGCAAAACTTCTACAAAAGAACAGCTACAATTTTTAAAACATATTTATAAACTTCAGAGGACATCCTTATTCCAATACTGGAGTCAGTTTTTGACGTCATTTTTATGTGACCTATGCCTCGTTCAGGACCACTGTGTGTATAATGCGTTTCAAAATTGGGGGATAAAGAAATTTGTATTTTTTTAACGTTTAAAGTTCATAATATGCATATAATATTATTATGCATCGCAACGCCGAGTATATATACACATAAGCTGAAATATTCCGCATCTAATACTATAATAATTAGTATAGTCCGAAAGGTAAAGAAATGTCCGAATTTTGGAAAATTTAAACAGAATTTGAATTTTTTATTATCATCTTTGCTTGGAAAAATTTAAGAACAAAATGAAACAATAAAGATCGCAAATAAGCTTGTTGAAATTTCTAAAAAAATCTTAAAACACAAC